AAGAACTGAGGTCCTGAATGGTTAAGCAATTTGCCAAAACCAGAGAAAGAAATGACCCTAGAACTCAAATTCATGTTCTATGTTTTTGTGGGCCAAGATTTCTGTACACTACTATTTCTGATGCAATTAACATGTTACTAGAAATTTAAGAAGACAGTATATTCCTCGGGGATGTTACTCTGGAAAGCCTTGATGGAAAAGAGATGAGACTTTGAAGATTTCCTATCCCATAACCCTTACTAGCTTCACTCATATTTAGACACATTATCTGAAATATTTTTCCAATCAGATTTATTTAAACTAATTCAGACTGTGCCCAGCAATCTTCTGAGAGAAAATGAGACCATACAAGAGAACAGTAATCACTGCCCTAGAATTGTCAAGACCATTGCTTACGTGCTCTGTGTGTTCTAATGAGATGTAATAACTACTGGTTATTAGATGCAATAGCTAATGGCTGGTTAGTGGGGTTGGATTCCAGCAAACCATAAAGCGTTCTCTGTCATTTTAACTTTCTTTATTCATTCCCACTTTTCCAACTCCTTCTGTGTATTCTGACTACCAAGGGCACATATGCTACTGGCCATGTGTGGCCAAAACACACCTGCTCTCTCTCAGCTCAGGTTACCGTCATCATCATTCTCAACATCGTCGTCATTACCAACACCACCACACCATCATCACCATCATAACCGTCACCACTGTTATGCCTAGAGAGCACTTTCTGGGTACGGGTACTATTCTGAGTGCCTTCCATGCACATCCCATCTAATCCTCATCACCAGCGTGTAAGAACATCCCTGATAATGCCTTCATTTTACAGTTGAAGAAACAGAGGCAGAATGAGTAATTTCCCCCAAGTTCTGCAGTTGTCCAATGCAGGAGTTGGAGTTTCCTCTCACCAGGTCTGTCTGACTCCAAAGCCCCACCTCCACTGTATATTCTGCCAGTCCACATTCCCTTTATTTCAGAATTATCCAAGACTCCTATATCTTTCTCGAAATCTGTTATTTGTTTCTCTTCTAGAGAGAATCTAATCTCTGCCAAATTAATCGTTGTCATTGCTTAAATAAGCTGTAGTACACTTTATCTTTGCTGATTTGGCATTGTTTAAATGGTGAAGACACAGTGTCTTAATGGCAAAAAATACTCAGAAGCTTATAATGAGAATTTCAAAACAGCAAACAGATAATTGAGGTCAACTAGTTTTTTTTTAAGAAACCCTAAGTTTGGAGCCAGCAGGTGGCGTAGTGGTTAAGGCACTAGACTCCCTGGATCTGGAAGCTTGAAACTCACACTGAGCACATGTGCATGCATGCCCAAAATCCCAACAGGAGAATGGGGGAGAAGGGACTGTGGCATGGGGTTCCCACTAGGGGTTGATTTCTCACTTTCTCTGTCTCTGGTGATCACACATGTCCTATAGCAACAATTTCTCTAAAGAAAAAGAAAAGAAAAAAAAAAAAAAAAGGAAAGAAAGAAAAAGGAAAGAAACCCTAAGTTTAAGGTCAGGTGCCATGGCATGCATCTGTAATCCCGGTGACCCAGGAGGCTGCACGGAAGGTCTGTGAGCTCAAGGCTGGCCTGGACAACGAGGCAAGACTGGCTAGGAAAAGAGCCAGGTGTGAGGGCACATGAGGAGGAGGATCGCAACACAAGGCTCCAAATCTCTGAAAAAGTAAGAAGAGAGGAACAGAAGTGGAGAGAGAGGAAAGAAGGGAGTCAGTCTGAAGCTGCATTAGCACAATTCTGAGATTCAAGTTCTGATATCAGATATTATTGCAATGGTAATAAATAAAATACACTAGGAAAATGTATTTAAGTTCTTTCCAATCTCTGCAAATTGCTTTTTCCTTGGACAGTGACTCCAGAATTGAATTAGAGGAATGCATCTGATAAATGCCCTCAGGTTTGAAATACAGGGTTTTAAAAAATTTGTTTTTTAATAGATAAAGTGTATATATTTTTCAATCTTTCTGATACCTGGTAATAAACACAAGTTTGCCACCTTTAACTCCACATTTGAAGTAAAGATTTGGGAAGGAAGGCCTTCTAAAATGTAGTTTAAGCATAGTCTGAGGCAGTAAAAAATAATTTTGAATTAATTTATTCAGGCTGATTCTCTAAACAATTTTAAGTGCATGGCTCTACTTTTTTATTTTCTTGATTATATGCAGCAGCAAGTTAACTGGGGCACTTTCTTTCATTAAAATTTCTAACCTGAAATGATAAGAAACTCCACCCTGGCATATAAAATGTGAGCAAGAGGAAGAAGAGAAGGGGAAGAAGATAACAAGCCACACTCAGGAACTGACACGTATCTCATTTAGTTGTCAATAATAACCTCATGAAATGAATATATTGTCACTTCCTCCCTCTCTACGAAGGAAATGAGACTTGGAAAGGTTATCTAACCTGCCCAATATCACACTTTCTAAGTTTCAGAGCCCAGGTTGAAATCCAAGTCAGCCTGACTTTGTACTTTATCTAGAATGACCATTTAACTCATTTTTATATTCCAGTTTGGTAATATAGGACATTAGACAGATGTAATTGTTATGAACAAGAAGTGATGGATTAAGAAAAATACAGGCCAGATAGTGGCATACTGGTAACACAACTGAACATACATGGGAACCATCCTAGCTTCGTGTTCTGAGGCTCCCCTTAGCATCCCAGGCAGTGTGTGTGCTCTTGTGTTCCGGGTCAGCTAAGGCTGGGGTGGATCGCTGCATGTGGACCCTTTAGCAGTGCCCCCCACTACCTCTCTCTCATGGAAGAAACTGATAAACTTTGACAAAGATAAACTAAGCAGTAACCACTTTTTAATTTTCATAATTTGCCATCTGAGTGAGCAAATTGGAGCTCTTAACATCCAATAATTAAGCCATTCTGCCTGCATAAAATTTAAAATAAATCAGCTTACACGTTAGAACTGATCATGCTTTCTTTCTTAATCTCAGTCATAATTATGTAGAAGTTCAGAAAGTTTGTTTGAGGAGACATCTCGGAACACAAATCTTACCTTTTTTCACACGACTACACCAGTTCTGTTCATTTCTCATGGGTTCATCCTTCTGAAAATCATACTTTATTAAGTCAAAAGTGAAAAAAATCTGCAAAACCAAAATCAAACAAACCAAGACATGCTTTAAGTTATTGGAACAATGACACCCTTAGGTAGTAGGTTTTATGCTTAACTGAAGCAAATAATTAGAATACGGATTTATGAAAAATCAGTAACTTCTACTGATGAAAAATTAAACCAATATTTGAAAATCAAAAACAAAATATTAATTAACAGCACTTATGCATTGACATTTACTTAATCTTTGTGTGTTTCACTTTACCTTGGCAAAACTCTAATAATTTAAATGAAAAATACAGAAATAGGGGCTGGCAGGTGGCGTAGTGGTTAAAGAGCCAGATTCCCAAAATGGCAACCATGGTTCGAGCCCTGGACTTGGCGGCTTGCTTTCTCGCTTTCTCTCTCTCTCTCTGCTGCTCTGTGGTCAAACTGAAAAAATGATGATGATGATGAAGAATTTAAAAAGTAAATAAAGTAATTCTTTAGGGAAAATAAAAAAGAATACAGAAGTAATCCATACACTCAATTAGATTCTCTGCCAACCCTAAGTAAGAGAATTTTTGCAGTCATTCAAAACATCCCCTGAATAGTAGTTTTAATAGAACCGCAATACAAACTATGTGAATACAAGGATTTTGTTGCTTATTTTTTTTCTCATATTCTCTAGAAAAGTGACCAAAGGCCTGAAAGCAGTTATTTGATTTGATCTTTTCCCCTTGGCCTTTCGCTGTCAAGCCCCTACAGTAGCATTGAGTCTTTCTGCCCAGTGACGTGGTGTGAGAGGACGTGGCATTAGAACACCCTCATCGCACTGGGAACCAGGCTGAAGGCTATCTCCCTTCATCCGCAAATATCTCCACCCACCCTGCCCTCGTCATGCAGCCTCCTGAGATTTACCAAATTCTGACCCTGGGAAGAGAACTGCAGATTGGCTTAGTCCAACCCTCACATTTTATATATAAGAAAGCAGAGATTTTACTGACCAATTAAACAGTAATTTCATGAAGCTGAGTTAGATACTAGTAAGCTAACATGGAAGTAATAAAATGAAGTGAGGAAAAATAAGAAGGAAGGATGCAGAGAGGAGAGACAGAAACTTGGAGCAAGGAAGAGAAGAAAAGGAGAGAAATGAACAAATACAGAGCAAATAAATGGGAAAACATGAATATGATTAATGAGATTAATGTGTTACTTATTATCAAAGATTAAACACTAACTCTCTGATTGTTTAAGCTTATTTATTTACTTCTTCCATGGGTGAGAGAGAGAAATAGTCATTGCCAACAGTCTCAATGCCTTGATCCACACCCAGCCCTAGCCACCCAGCCCTGACTAATGGGTGCAAGAGTACTCAGCTCCCGACACAAACCTAGAACCTTGCCGTCTGGGTCAGTCTCCCAGAATATCCCAATTTGCTGCTGTGCCACTGTCTGGCCCCTCATCTCTGATGTTCAGTCTTAGTAAAATCAACATGTAAGTAGAGTCACAACTCATTGTTTTAATTAAAATATGAACAAAAGCAACTAATATAATCAACAACTTGCTGTATATCAGACACTGCCAAAAGCTAAAGAGCTACATTTAATTTAATGATCAAAATATCCTATGAAATAGAAATTAACATGATCGTATTTAAAAATTATGTCTTTAAAAACAGGCAATAAGGCAAATATTGTTATTCTAAACATAAAGATTCTTTATTAAAATGCAAGCTTGCCTCTCGTTGGTCTTTCTTAGTAATTGGGGTAACAGGATATTGGCTTCTTGCCTGATGGCTGGTAGAAACATCCCAGAAGTTCCGGAGCTGCCCATATAATCGCAGCCAAACAAGAACAGAGCCCTGTTCATCCCCCATTCTTTTTTCTTCTGTTTCAACACGCTTTATTATTTTAGAAAAATTGCCCAGCAACTTGTGATAACAACTTTAGTGTTATTTCTTTTAGATTAGTCTGGAAACCATGTATGTGGGTGAGATGCTCTTCACACCAAATGATTCCTCAGTTATCGGACATAGAGGACTTATTGGTCAAAAATTGGTAATTTTATGACTCGAAATATCAAAGATATCCCAGTCTCCTTTAGAAGTAACCTGGATCAGAGCATTAATGTTCAGCTAGAAGCAATTTTGATATTCTTCCTGCCTACAAAAGGTCCCTAAGAGATTACAAAAATGGCTGGCCGCATTATTTTTTTCTATGCAAAAATGCATCATGACTTTTCCAACAACCCAATAGTAATGGAAACACATTTTTAAATGCCATGCTTTAAAAATTCTCAAATGTACAATGTAGTCTCCTTTAGAAGTAACCTGGATCAGAGCATTAATGTTCAGCTAGAAGCAATTTTGATATTCTTCCTGCCTACAAAAGGTCCCTAAGAGATTACAAAAATGGCTGGCCGCATTATTTTTTTCTATGCAAAAATGCATCATGACTTTTCCAACAACCCAATAGTAATGGAAACACATTTTTAAATGCCATGCTTTAAAATTCTCTAAATGTACAATGTATGTGTCCCTGTCCAGAGCACAGCTGGAAGGAACATTCCCAATAGTTCTGGCTTTCCAGAACTGTGCAGCCTGCACCTATCTGACTCTACACCTTGATCCTGGGAGTTCCCTTACATAACTATATGCTTAGAATATTTCAGATTCATAAGTTTCTAAGTTGGAAAGTGAACACACAAATTATTTCCTTTATTAACACATGTGGTAACTTTGAATCCAGAGGGAATTAAGTTGTCAAAGTCACATTAGCGGCAGAACTGGATTACCAGTCCCTGTGTAGTAAAGAATTAACTTGTTGGGACCAGCAGTTGGCGTAATGGCTATGTGCTGGATGTGGCTTAAACTCACGCCGGGCACGTGTGTGTGTGTGCCCAAGATCCCGAGAGGAAAATGGAAGAGAAGGGATTGTGGCATGGCCATGCCCCCGGGGGGTGATTTCTCACTTTCTGTCTCTCTGTCTCTTTCTTCCTGGTGAGCACACACGCCCTATAGCAAAAACCTCTCTTAAAAAAAAAAATTAACTTGTCCAAGACAAGGTCTGGCCCTCACGCTCAGCTCCTGAGAGACGTAATCGCTAAGTTCTTCCAATGTCATTTAAAAGTTAATTATTTATTTTATTTATTATAATTTAAGTTTGCTATAGGGCACATGTGCTCACCAGAGAGAGAGAGAGAGAGAGAGAGAAGAGAAAGTGAGAAAGCAAGTCACCAGATCCAGGATTCAAACTGCGGTCAGCCATGTGTGAGTCTAGCACCTTAACCATCATGCCAACTTCTGGATCCAATGTAATTTTTTATAGGAGTATATTTGTCTAAGGGCCTTGGACCATGCAGATAGTAACAATATGATTTAGAATGGAGTCTCTGAGTCATACCAACAATGTGATGTAGGGTTGGATTGGAGCTTTGGATTGAGCAGGCAGAAGATGGAGGTCAGCCATGTGGCAGTCATCCAGATATACAGGATCAAGTCCCAGACACACTCTGAATACCAAGACTCTGAGTAAGCTTTCCATGTTGGCAATATTCCATGTGCATTGACATATTAATTCAATGAGAGTAATCCTGTTCTAAGTCCACAAGAAAGGACAACTGGAAGCTTCATCCTTGGTATCCTCTGGGAGTTTGTTCTTTAAGTTTCTTTCTGGGCTAATTTTAGTATGTATCCTTTAGCTGTAAATAACCTGTAACCATGCATACAACAGCTTTCAATGAGTTCTGTGTCCTAGTAAATCATCAAATTGAAGCATGATCGTAGAGACTCCCAAAATTGCAGGAGATATCAGAAGTGAGGGTGGTCATGTGATAGTATATGTGTGTGCATGAAAGAGAAAGAGAGAAAGAAGGCAGCATGCTCAACAGGGTCTCTTAAATGAAACCTAAGAGTATTATTGTTTATAGTACTATGCTCCTCTAATCTAATTTCTATTTTTGTTCATAATTATTTTTATATTCTGAGGTTTTATATTTCATTCCATCTGTAAGTATAATTTAGAGCTAGTCAGTTTTCTATATTTAAATGGATTTATGGGGCCGGCAGGTGGCTTGGTGGTTAAAAGTGCTGGACTCCCACATGGCCGACTGCAGTTCAAGTCCCAGACTTGGTGGCTTGCTTTCTCTCTCGCTCACTGTATCCCTCTTTGGTCAAACTGAAATAAATAAATGAATAAATAAATAAAGTTAAAGAAAATAATTCAAAAATTTTATTTAAAAAAATTAGAAAAAAATAAATGGATTTAATACTCATCATTAAGTCTTTAACTGAAAGCAATTCTTTCATTTATAAATTCTGTTTCTTATTCAGGTTGGCTAGGATTTTTTGTTCAGTTAATTTTATTTTTATTTATTTATATTATCATTATTATTATTATTATTGGAAAGGTTTTGCTATAGGGCGCATGTGCTATCCAGAAAGAGAGAAACGGAGAGACAGAAAGCAAGAAATCACCCCCCAGGGGAGATGGCCAAAGCAAGAAATCACCCCCCAGGGGAGATGGCCACGCTGCAATCCCTTCTCCTTCATTCTCCTCTTGGGATCTTGGGCACGCACGCACAAGCACCTAGCATGAGTTTAAGCCACTGGGTCCGAGACTCGAACCGCAGTTGACTACGTGGGAGTCCAGTGACATACCCATTATGCCAACTGCTGGTCCCTCATTTAGTTAATTTTATAAAGAAGAATTTGATTCCTGTAAATACATGGGTATTCTAGTTCAAGGCTTCTTAAAATTATGAGTAAATCTTTTTGTTGCCTTTATATTTGAAGAACATTTTAGCCCAAACTAAAGTTTGTAGGTAAAGACATTTCTTTCCTTTTCTTCTGACATTTAGTATTTTGTTTTTGTTTTGAAATGCCCAAGAAGTTTCCCATCTTCACCCACATTACACTTTGTACATCTTTTGCTTTTCTGCCTTGGTATCTTTTTATAGTTCTTTCATTTTTGTTCAGTAATTACACCAGGATACGTTTTTCTGATGATCATTCCGTACCACATCCCTTTTCCTGGTACAGTGTATCCTTTCGCTGAAAACGTAAGTCTTTAAGGAAACTTTTTCCTATGATGATTGAAATAATTTTCTCTTTGATTTATTATTTTCTGCAGGAACATCCATGAAACACATGCCAGATCAAGGTCTGTATTTTCAAGATTTCTCTTTTTTTCTGTATTTCATATTATCTTCTTGTGCTTTCCATTGTGCTTGCATGACTCCTTAATCACATTCATCTTGTACCCTAACACCCTAACAATGTTTACAGTCCTGTTTGTTTTTAAGTCCTTTCATGTTACGTTTATTTCTATAATATTTTCATTTTTGTTTCTGTTTTTTTTCCTTTGAGCTGAGCATGCTTACTTTTCAACATCTTTTGTTGATTTATGGATTCTTTGGGCCTTTCTCTCCATCAAGCTCTTATTTCTGAAGAGAATATTTCAGCTTTATTTGAGTCCATAGAAAATTATTTTTTAAATATTTTTGGGTCATTTTGAAGAACTCAGCATTTTGGGGTGTATTCAGGTTTTTTCCAGCTGTCTTTTATTTAGATATATTTTCTCCATTTTTTGAGAAAATAAAAGTTTATTTTCTCAAAAGAGAGAGAGAGAAAAGCAGACACCCCAGACATGGTCTGGTTGTGCCTCGATTCCCCTCCCGTAAGGCTTCCAGCCAGCCAGGACAAGTGTACATGTGTGCAGGTGCATAGTGTATTTCAGGTCGACCTGGGATCTGAACCATGGTCTTCCATGTGGCTCTGGCATTGCACAGTGGTGCTTTAGCTTCTGCACTGCTGTGGCTGGGGAATTCTCCCTTTTTTTAAAAAAGTCTTATTTACTCTATGGATTTAATGTTAGTCTCTTTTAAGTTTTGTCTAGGTGAAAAGACTGTGGAAAAGAGGAAGGTGGTCCATAACTTTTATTTGGATCTGTCTCTCACAAACGGTATCAATACATTATTTATGTGATTATTTATTTTTATTATTATTATTATTTATTATTATTGTTATTTATGTGATTTGCTTTGGAGGCATATGTAGGACACTCCCCTTTTACTTCTACTTATTTAAACAGCACATATAGCACGTAAGAGGGAATCTGGGTTGAAGGAACTCTGCTGCAGCCTCCCTACCTTTCTGCATTTTTAACCCCAATTCAATTTAAATTTTTGAAAGACACTTATCAAATATCCCTACTTAATTATGAAAGTTATTTTTCCAAAGTTTCTAATTATCTGCTTTGTAACAAAACAACACATGAATGAAATGGTAAAATCTGTATGGCATTAGGAATGACTTCTTTTTCATGTCCAAACTGGAGAAAAAACTTGAGAAGTCGAACATCGGAAATTTTCCATATACATTGGACAAAATCACGGCTTTTTTTTTCATTATTGACTTTATTATAGTTTGACAAGGAATTTAAAATATTAGAAAATTATAATAAAGTCAAGCCAGAAATATAAAACACAACTTATCTTCATTATACTATTGTTGAATAATTACTTTGTGATGACCGAGCTTCAACAAAGGAGGCTTAATACGAATACTACATTTTTGACAGAACCATTGCAATGAATCTAGAAAATTAATTGCAAAAATATGTAAAACTAATAATATTAGCATTTATTTTCTCCCAAATGCATTTGTTGAGAATACAAATGCATTTCTGAGATGTCCACTAGATTCTCAAGATCCCAGAATAATTCATTATACAAACAGTTTGCACTTTCTTTAGGGTTAGGACATTAGTGTGAGGTACGGCAGCTTCTAACAGGCTGCACAACTGAAAAGTGAGCCCCGAGACACGAGAAACCCGTGGGCCTCAATTACTTGCAGGTACCTGAAAAAATCACCACTAACTAGAAAACCAAATGTGTCTTTTGTTTGTTTAGTTTAGATGCTCTTTGATGATGTAAGGCAGTTTATTTTAAGAAACTCTTATTTTATAAAACTAAAGATGCTAAGGATGAAAGAAATGCAAGTGCAACCAAGTTTAGACTGCATAATTCTAAAGGTCTTCTGAAAGGTGGTTCTGAAAACAGGCTGAGTAGGAACTCTGGAAACCCCAGCAGCAATGACAGGACAGTGCCACTCTCGAGGCCCAGAAGGAGCCCTGAGGAAGCACTGAGCAGGGACATTACCACCCAGCGCAGACTCTTCATGGACCATGGAGGGCCATGATGGCAGTGCCTGTCGCTTTTATTCTCGCTCTTCCTGTCATGGTTAAGAGTTAGAAAGAGAGTTGGGTAGTTTTTCTTCTTTTCTATTCTCTGGGGGAGTTTGTGAAATGAGAATGATTTGCCCTTTGACTATTTGATACACTTAACAGGGAAGCCATCTGGGACTAGAGAAAAAGTGAGGGGTTTATATTCGTTTTACTTAGTATGATAATTCTTCAGTTCATATTGGTGAGATGTTCTTTTTTCCTAGATATCTGTCCAGTTTATCTAATAATTTAAAATTTACTTCTATGAACTCATTCACCATATCCCTTTATGGTTGTCTTAATGTCTAAAGCACCTATAGTACTGTCTCCTTTTTCCATTCTTGATGTTGGCTATGTGGGCCTTTTCTCTATCAAAACCTATTTTTTTCTTTACTTCAAAAATACTTATTTCTTTTGATAGTCCTCACTAAATGTTTATTTTCTTTTCAATAATGTCTGCTTTTTATTTCCTTACTTTTTAAAAAGTTTATGTTCTTTTTAAAATTGTTTAATTAACTTTCAGAGATAGGTATTTAACTCCAGTCAACTAATTTTCAGCTATCTTAGCTTAATCCAAAAGTTTGTATTTATTTATTTAATCTTATTTTCTCTTTCTTTTTAAATTTTCTAATGGATGCATGAGTCACCTAAGAGACAGAGAGAGAGAGACAGAGAGAGAGAGAGAGACGGGGAAAGTCAGAAAGCACTGCCCTTGAGGCATGGTTACACTGCAATTCCTCCTCCTCAATTTCTTCCTCCTTTCAGGATTATGGGCACACATGCACACACACACACAGTTTTGGTGTTTTTCAAGCTTTTGGGCATGGGACTTGAACCACATGGTTGGACATGTGGGATAAAGCTGCCTTGGCCACCATGCCTCAGGCTGGCCCTTCACAAAGTTCTTTTTTTTTTTTTTTTTTTTTTTTTTTTTTTCCCATAAGTCATGTGCATTTGTCCAAGAGAGACAGACAGAGGGAATGTGAATAATAACCCCCCAAGGGTATGGGCATGCTGCAATCCCTTCTCCATCCTTCTCTTAGCATTTCAGGCATGCATGCATGCCACCGGGTGATTTTCAAGCCACCGGGTCTGGGACTTGAATCCTAGTCGGCCATGTAGGAATCTAGCACCATAATCACTATGCCACCTGCTGGCCCCCACAAGTTTTTAAAAATAACATTTCCATTACAATTCAGGTCACAATATTTTCTAATTTCAACATGATTTTTTTGGTTTGACCTACAATAACTTAGAAATCTTGTATTTTTAAAAATTTTTTGTGTTCCTTAACCATAATCATCAAATCTCATGTTTTAGGGGGAAAATATGGAGATGATTGAGGTTTGTATAACTTATGACAGCACAGTTCACCTAGAGGCCACAACTTTATTTATAGAAAATTTTAACTTAAAACAAAGATGATGGGACCAGCAGTTAGCATAATGGCTATGTCACTGGACTCCCACGTAGTCGACTGTGGTTTGTGTCCCAGACCTGGTGGCTTAAAACCCACACCGGACGTGTGTGCATATGTGCCCAAGATCCCGAGAGGAAAATGGAGGAGAAGGGATTGCGGCGTGGCCATCCCCCCCAGGGGGCTGATTTCTCGCTTTCTGTCTCTCTGTCTTTCTGGCGAGCACAAGCACCCTGTAGCAAAAACCTCTCAATAAAACAAACAAACAAACAAACAAAAAAAGATGATATCATAATTTACAATCACAGAGTCTAGATGAGAGTACAATTCCATGTATTTCTTTCATAAAGAAGATACTGTACTTACTTTGTAAAAAAAATTCGTTCTCCCAACTGATCCAATTTTCCCAGTGTGGTTCATGAAAGAAATGTTTGCTTCAGTAGCTCCATAAAACTCGCACATCTTAATATTTCCAAATCTGTCTAAAAATTGTCTCCAGACATCACTCCGCATACCATTTCCAACTGCCAGACGCACGCGGTGATCCTTTTCTCCTTCTTTCTGTTAGAAGAAACAAGTTTGCTTTTTTAACTTGCAACTCTCGAACTCTCATTTCATTATCATTGGGTAAATGAAAAACATCCTAGGATTATGATGCATGTATGCTCCAATGGAAGGGGAAGGAAAAAAATCACATACGTCTGTTGCAGAATTGTGTCCATTAGGAGACAAGAGTAACATAGTGTTTGTGTTTTCACATTATCTGGGAAAAGCTCTTTCTAAATTCCAGATTTCTTTCTTTCTTTCTTTTTTTTTTTCTTTTTTGTAAGGTTTTTGCCATCGGTCACATGTGGAGAGACAGAGAAAGGTAGTGTGGGAGAAAGGGATAAATCCCCCCTGGGAGGACTGACACATCGCAATGCTTTTTCCTCCACTCTCCTCCTGGAATTTTGGGTACACACACACACACACATGCCCAGCTTGAGTTTCAAGCTACAGGATCTGGGACTTGAAAAGCAGCCAGTCATATGGGAGTCCAGCACCTTAACCACTCCACCACCTGTTGGCCCCTGAATTCCAGATTTCTAAAGCCTTCTTTTTTTTTTTTTTTTGATAGATATCAGGTAAGAAAGAATAGTTCAGAAATTTTACTTTAAAAATATTACAAACAACTTGTGCTTACACTCCCAGGCCCACTATATATCGGGCATATAATTTTGATCAAGTTATTGACTCCTACTGTGATTATCAGCTTATTCATCTGTAATGAAAGTTAATACCTACTCCACTTACATACTGCAGTATATAGCTAGTACTTAGTGCCTCATAGAGAGCCAGTGATAAAATCAAGGTCACAGAATTCGATGTAATGTTTGGCTTGCAAATACTATGAAAACTATACATAACTATATTTTAAAATGTACAATATTCTTGCATTTTTAATTCTATATTTTAGATTTAAAGAAAAATAGGATATTTTTATAGTCGATATGCATTGTTAACATTAATCATTTATTCCTTAACATTAGAACAAAAATATTTCATTGGTATAGTCATATTAAATTCATGATTTATTCTGCGCTACCTCCATCATTATTAAAAGTAATAAAAAAGTAACAAATAATGTGGGCCAGCAGGTGGCACAGAAGTTAAGGCACTGGACTCCTACGTGGTCAACTATGGATCGAATCCCATACCTGCTGGCTTGAAAATCATTCCAGACAAATGTGTGTGTGTGTGCCCAAAGTCATAGGAGTATAAGGGACTGTGGCATGGTCTTCCCCCAGGGTGGAGGGTGATTTCTCACACTTTCTCTCTCTCTGTCTCTCTCCTCTCTGGTGAATGCACACACCCTATGACAAAAGTCTTTAAAAAGATCATCAATAACAAGAAGCAATAATAAATCCGCAGCAATAAAATAGAGAACTTAAATTTCCTAGTACTTGCAATGAAAAATAATTGATTCATCACATTATTTGTCTCAGTCCCTTTTCTAAACACCATTAAGACTGTTTCAAAGAACAGATTTAGGCTATGAACTCTCACGAACAAAGGGAAGTGAGGAAGAGGAAATTTTGGAAACTGAAACATGAGTACACAAAAGCATGTGATGGCGCAGAAGGGATAAGAATGAAAGCTAAGTCTACAGACTGGTACCCAACAAATGCTCCTGAAAGAGTCAAGTTAGCATCAGAAAGGAAAAAATGAAGAAGGTAGAAGGCTTGGTTTGAAAATCTCTTAAGAAACAACTGTAATGTCACATATCCTAATAGAGACAATGTATCCAGGAGTCTGCCCTTATTATCCATCGGCCAACTACTGGAGAGTTCTTCTCCAGAAAAGTCCAATCATAAGTAAACCAAATTAGGTTGAGGAACCCACTAGAAAAAAGTAAGTTAAATGAAAGTCTACATACCAAGTGAGGTGATCACTAGATTTTAACTCTGATATCAGAACTCCAGTACCTAGAATTGCACACCAGAATATGAAGCTGCTGTCATCAGTGAAACTGATCGGCACGAAATGAACTTTAGGAACTACCTCACAGAACTACCTCATAGCTAGATTCCTACTAAGCCACCCTAGAATCTGAGCCTTTCGTTGATAAATCTTAGCCACGTGCACTCAGATTTTTCACTGCCTCATTTTGAAATACAAAAGCATAAAATTGTAGAGAAGTGAATGAAAAATATACAAAAGGAAGTACAAGGTGGAGGAGACACAAAGACCATGCCAAGAACACATACAAGAAGAGTCCTTCAGAAAACTAAAACAACAGAGAAGAAGCAATAGCTGAGGGGATTTTTACTGAGCCTTCTCCAAAAGTGATGGAGAAACCTCACACTGACTTAAGAACTAGGACCTCAGACAACATAAGTACCAGGAAAATATACTTGGATGTTTTCTCATAAAGTTTCTAGGGGAAAAAATACAAAAATGAGAATGAGAGGGAGGAGAATTTTAAAAGCAGTCAGGGAGTAATAGACACATCATTTTCTTTTTTTAAAAGATTATTTTATTTTATCAATTAACAGAAGCAGTGAAATGTTTAGTTTTTATTTTAATTATTTTATTTAACTTTATTTATTTATTTGTTTATTTCACTTTACATTGACCAGAGAGGGACAGAGCAAGAGAGAAAAAGAGAGAGGGAAAGTGAGAGAGCAAACCACTAGGTTCAGGACTTGAACGGTGGTCAGCCATATGGAAGTCCAGCGCTCTTAACCACCACGCCACCTGCCGGCCTGACTCACCATTTTCAAAGGAGCAACCTGAATATTTATGACTGACCTTTCAACAGTTAACTATGGAAAATAGAAGTAAATTAAATATTTTCATGCTATTAAAATAAAGTAATTGTGGGGACCAGCAGGTGGCATAATGATTATATTACTGGACTCCCATATGGCTGACCGTAGTTTGAGTCCTGGACCTGGAAGCTTGAAACTCACACCAGGCATATTTACATGCATGCTCAAAATCCTGAGAGGAGAATGGAGAAGGATTTGTGGCATGGCCATCTCCCAGGGGGGAGGGGAGGGCGTGTTATTTCTCATTTTCTGTCTCTCCGTCTCTCCTGTGAGCACATGTGCCCCATAGCAAAAATCTTTCTCTCTAAAAAAAAAAAATAGTAATTGTGGGGGCCGGCAGGTGGAGTGGTTTCTTTAAAGCACTGGATTCGCACATGGCTGACTCTGTGGTTTGAGTCCTGGACCCTGTAGTTTGAAGAAAACACCAGGCACCTGAGCATCCATGTCTAAAATGCTAAGAGGAGAATGGAGAAGAAGGGATTGCAGCATGGCCATGCCCCCGGCAGGGGGTGGGGGTGGGGCATGATTTCTCACTACCTGGCCAAATTCTAAAATAAATAAAGTATAATTGTAAAGTATAAACTTAGCATTCTATACTCAGAGAAAGCATTATTCAAAACCAAAGGCAAACCATGTTGATGGACAAAAAAAGCTGAAAACCAAGCCAACTCAGCAGTGCAGCAGGGCCACGCTATGTGGAGGCAGCTGCATCTCACATGGCAGACCAGGCATCCGGTCACACGCTGAGCTGGGGCACGCGTGCCAGGACGCTGACTGGATGGAGAACTGGAGGGAAATGCCCTGGGCTATGACCAGGCTCCATCCGACCAGGTTTCCTCTCCTTGTCTCTCTGCCTTGTCTCCGTGGGATGAGTAGGGGGAAGAATGTTGTACTCTTTAAGGCAACAGAAGTTCTTGAAAAATATTTGAAGAAAAAAGAATATATATCTGAATAGCTAATCAATGAAAAATTTTATCATTTCAAGAGGATATAAGAAAGAGGGCAAAGGGGACAAATAACAGATAAGAAAAGAAACAAAATATTAAGATAGACCATCTAAATCCAAATACTAAGTAAAATGAAAGCCTGCTTACTGAACGATGCGGCCACCAGAGGATGTGGGACGGAAACAGGAGCGATGGTGCCTTCTGTGCCTGAGCGGCAAACTGCGCCTATCACGTGGGCTCGTTGTTTCCTTACAACCAGTTTTAGGAACATGATGAGCCAATCGAGCAGCTCTGCTGCTGCTCAGGGACTGCTTAATGAAGAGTATTTTTTCAAGAAAGTACCCAAGTATAAGTATATGAAAATATGCTCAATAACATTAGTCGTCAAGTAATGCAAATGAAAATGTCGATAGAAATAAGCACTTACAAAAATAGCTGTTTCTCTTGAGCACTGTCAATTTTCCACCAAGAGTTGGCTTGGATGTGGGATAACTGGGATTCTCATTGACTGTGGGTGGGATTGTGTATCAGCACATTTGGCAGACCTACCAACACTGAACACGCGTGGACACCGTGGTCTACCAGTTCCACTCTTCGATTATATTAATATATTAAGGGAGCTGTGTACATACATTTGTCAAAAGACAAATACAACAATGTTCATAGCCTCGTTAATCATATAGTCTTGGGCCAACAGGTGGCATGGAAGTTAGGGCGACTGGATCCCACATAGCTAACCGAGCAGTTTGAGTCCTGAACCCAGCAGCTTGATAAACACACCAGGCATGTGTGCGGGCTTGCTCACAATCCTGGAAGGAGAATGGAGAAGAAGGGATTGTGGCAAGGCCATCCCCTCTGGAGGGCGATTCCCACTTCTTTCTCCCCTCTCGTAAGTATACGTGCCCTATAACAAACTAAAAAAGAAAAGCAAAAGAAAAGCAAATTCATATGAAGTCTCAAATGTAATTCACCAAAGTAAAAAAGACTTTAAAAAAAATTCTAGTAATAAAATGATGTAGTCTTGTATTAGTTTTCTATTGGCACATATATTACTACAAATATAACACCTTAAAATAATCCAAAGTTGGACTAGCAGTTAGCGTAATGGCTGTCACTGGACTCCTATGTGGTCGACCGTGTTTCAAGTCCCGGACCTGGTGGCTCAAACTCACGTCAGGTACATGTGCCTGTGTGCCCAAGATCCCAAGAGGAGAATGGAGGAGAAGGGATTGTGACATGGCCATCTCCCCTGGGGGGGGTGATTTCTCGCTTTCTGTCTCTCTGTCTCTCTCTGTCTTTCTGG